CCCCCCTAAATTTCTAATAGTCTCCAGAGTCAAGCAACACAGTTTATGGGATGTTTTTTACCTTGAAGGGACAGCAAAAGAGATCTATCAATAGCAAAGGAACCCTCCCAGTCTTAGATGCCAGATGCCAATGAAACAAGAGTCTCAGAGATAAAGTTCAACATTTCTAGAAGATAGGCTTGCACTGAGAAAGTCTAAATAGCTCAGAACTTAATGAGCACCCCTGTGAGCCTCATTTTCTCTAAGGGGTCTCCAAAATGTGTCAAACATGAAATATGTCTGTATTCCAATGTAATGAAACACTGGAAATCTAACTGCCAAAAGCACCAACAGAAATCAAGTTGCCTTTGTGTTGCCTATTTTTTTTATTTTTTTTTTTTAATACATTAAAATGTCATTGACTGACACTGGCTAGATACCCACTGATAAAGCAGAGCTGGAAGATAACTCAGTTAATGAAGCCTGTACTTGGCAGATATTAGAGAGCCTTGATAGAATCCTGTGAATGAAGAACTGAATACATGTGAAACACAAAAAATTACCAATGAGACGCTAATATGACAAAATTTGAATAAAAGGTCTGAACCTCATGTTCCTGTTCTTTCCCTTAACCTTTAATGAGTAGTACTGTTTTGAAATTACTCTATGTAACAATTACACTTTCTGATTCATTAGGTTTTGGGATTGTGTTCAGGGCAGATGTGCTAACCTCAGAGTGAAAAATACGTTCTCATCTTTTTTTCCCAGCTTCTCCTGTTCCTCCACACATTTGTCATTTGTGTGTCTGCTCATATTCAGACAGCCTGATGCCTGACTGGTGTCTGGGTTAGGTACAGGAAATATTTCTCTTTACTCACTGTATATAGTGCCAGGTGGAATGAATCACTCATTGCTCCCTTGAACTTAAACTCCACAGTAGCTGTGATGACTAACTTGGTAGTGTGACTTTGGGCAGTCATGTCTATACCCACACACAGAAAAATTCCCCCCTGTTGTAGAGGAAACAATTTTTTTTTTTTTTTTTAATAATGAACTCTGCATTGAACTGAAAGAGCGAAGAGCCTTGTTTCAGCTCCAGGACCACATTTCAATCTGGTGCACATGTACACTCACAGCACTGCAGCTGAAATTACCTTCATAGGCTCCCTGTCCCTTTGGGTGCCACTGGGTATGGAAGCTGGGGTGCCTGCACTCATTAATCTAATGAGCCACCTAAGGTCAGGTGGACTATGAAAGACTGAACGGGGTCTTCTCCATCACCCTTGTAGAAGGCACAGAGTTTGCT